GCAAATCTTGGTTTAAGCTAGAAATTTCCAGGTTACCCCCACTCCATGGAGATAAGGTACAGATAGCAGCTCACACTTAAAAAGTGGCTCAGCATTCGAAAATCACCTGGGACAAGATGAACGCCTGAAACAAAGTCAATTTGCTCAAGGTGGGCAATTGTAGTCAATAAAATTCACGAAGCCTCTCAGATTTTTTTTTTTTTAAGGAAGGGGGTACTTCCTCCTTCTTCATTGAAATAGTTGATTGAATCTTCAGGATTAAGGAAGCAGCTATGTCCTAATGTTCATTCAACTGTCGGGTAACCACCAAGGTTTCATGGACGCGAGATGCTAGTTACACAGAATGAAATGGATCTGAGATGAGGGTACCGGGGACAGGAGAGATCTGAGTCCCTCCGCTCTCCTCCTAGAACATCAGCAAACAGTTCCCAATGAATGCGGCTTTGTCGCAGAGCTACGCTAGCCTGATCCTTCCCCCACCTCGTTATATAAAACCTAATTAGTTAAAGGGCAATTCAAATGAAACTTTTATTGGAGGGATTTAGAAGTATTAAAGCGAAGGGGGAAAGCAAACACGGCAGCTCCCTGCGGAGCGTGAACACGGTGGCTAATAACCTCGGGTGGGCACATGGCTGACCTTGTGATTCTCCTCACGACCCAGCTCTCCTCCGTAAATCGGTCGCGAACAGAAATATCTGGATGCTGCCTGGAGAACAGCTTGGACAAGGTCTCCAGCTCTAATGTCTTCCAGCATGAAAACACGCCCGGGCTTTCCCAACAGGCGGCTGGACCCTGCAGGTAACACTGCCCTTGTTTCCTCGTCCTGCCAATTACATCACATTAGAGTGGACCTTTAACGCTGTGACGAAGGCCGTGCTCATGGTAAGAGCAAACAGGAAAACGGCATTATTTCCCTTATGTGAACGGTCGTCTCGAATTGAGCGAGTTGGAGAGGAGGGGATGGCCAAACACCTCCACCCATGGCCTAGGCCAGTGGTTCTCAATCTTGGCTGCACATTAGAATCACCTGGGAATCTTTTTGAAATCCTGATTTCTGGGCCTCATCCTCCGGAAATTTTGTTTCTTTGTTATGGGGTGGGCCCCCAGAAATCAGGATTTTAAAAAGATTCCCAGGTGATTCTAATGTGCAGCCAAGGTGGAGAACCACTGGTCTATGCTTTTCATGCCAATCATCTGAAAGTCATTTAAGGAAATCATGTTTACTTGGGTTCACAGAATGTTCCTCTCTCTCTTTTGTTCCTTTTCAAAGAAATATTTGGATTTATTAAAAAAAAATTGTAAGTTTTCTGAAATGGTGTTTTCGGACGTGATCTTTCATTTCAACGGATGGCCTGCCTTTAACCTCCAACTCATCCCTTTTTAAAGCGATAATCACCCACACAAACCTACTTGCACATTAGGCCAATGCTTGTGGTTCTAATTATGTTCTTTATAAGATACTGTTATAAAGACATAATTAGCGAATTCACTTGCTTTTCAGGATGAAGGATCAGATAATATACGTTAGGAGGTAACAATTAGCTTGCCACCTTAACAAAGACGCCCACACCAAACCAACTATTAATTTGGATCAACAGCATCAACAAATGTTCACTTGAATAAATCGTGAGTTTGCTTATAAGGGCATAAATACATTAAGAGAAAAAAGAAAAACCTGAATCAATTACTACTACCCCGGCAGGTAAACAGGGCGCCTAGGGATGATCTATTTCGGGATTCATTCATTGCTGACAACATCACCAGTGTTTTTTCAGCAGTGGCCAAAGCACACAGAAATGACTGAATTTTCAGAAATCCAGGACCTTTGGGGATGAGTGGACAACCTACTTCCTTATAGAAAGACAACAGCAGGTACCAATGACCTTAATGGGAAATTTGTATCAAAAACTTCTAGCAGATGATCAGAAAGGATGACCACTCTGTCCACGCATTTGAACCCAACTTAATACCGACCTCTATCAGGGCTCCAAAATCTTTAGCCCTTGTATGTATGCGAACTTACGGTTACATACGTTAATAATTTACGTCGATAATAGACATCATTCGATTTCCTTGAGATGCACTTTGATGATGGGTCTCCTGAGTGATACACCTGCTGTAAGGGCAGCTTTCTATATATACTCGGTGGAACTATGTTCATTGATTCCTTCTGTGGGATAAAGGGAACAGCCCTGGCCACGGTTTGTACCTTAGAACCGCCCTTCCTGTGCCCTCTGGAACGGGCAGCTAGTCAGCTACCATGAATTCCTGAGGAAAGGAACCGGGCAGAGTGCCTTATGCGCCCACAAAGAAGGAACCGTGTGAATGGCATTAAAGCAGCCTCGAGATACAGTCATGTCTGATGGTTTTATTGCACATCTCTGGACCTGAAGGCTAGGCAACAAGCAAGCTAGTTCTGCGTGATGTTGGGTGACCCCAGAAACTCTTATGTCCTTAGAAAAAAAATCTAAGGAAACACCCACTGCACTCCACGGAGAACAGCCAGAGGCCCAGTGAAGGCAGGGCACAGGCGACCACGTTATCTGCTAGAGGGTTTTGGTTAGGGATGCAGGAGCTAAATTTTCCTAATAAATAATAAAGCCGAACACATTTCCCCAAGGCACAACGCAGCATCCTTTCGGGTCACCAGTGGTTTCAAAATCAAAACAAAGCCCCGCAGAACTGGGATTTCCCGACTGGGTGTATAAAAGGTCAACATCTGCTGATGCTCGGAGATGAGGCATGAGGTGAAGGCTGCAGGATGAGATGTCCCGTGAGCAGTACAGTGAGAGATCCATGCAGCACGCCCGACACGCCCACACAGAAACACACCCAGCCCCCGAGAACCACTTTCCATCCGTCCATTTCTGAAACGTCAGACAGGCCGATGGCCACAGCGGGCTCAGCCCTCTGCCTCCGCTTGCTTCCTGGGGTTCCCTGTCTGCTCTCAACTGCGACCCGCAAGGCCTGAAAGGAGCAAGTTGTGGGGGTGTCTACAGTGAAAAGTCAGCCTCTGAGCGCTGCAGGTCCTGCACATCTGAAGCGCCCCCCCCCCCCCCAAAGGGCGCCACGGGCAGTGCCGAGGACAGGGCAAGCCGAAGACTGGCTGCTATTATTCATAGACTTTATGGCAAAAGACATAAGCGAGGCTGGGAGATGAGTAGGAATTCCAAAGACATAAAGGATCTAGGAGTGTAATACAGGACAATTCTCTACCATCCGTGGAGCCATTTCCTAGATATTTCAGTAGGTGGAGAATTAGGTAGAAGCTGAAAAGGGAAATTTGCCTAGAAATCGGAGAATATACTAGAACTCCGTGATTTGGTTTCATCAACCAAACCGTGGGGAAGCACATACGTTTCTGTTGCACTACAGGCCAATCATCCACCCCCAGGCTCGTCCATGCTACTGTACCTCAAGGCCTGCATCTGGGTCGTGTCCTGCTCATCTGCAAGTGGCAGCGCTGAGGCTCTCCCAGCAGCAAGGCCGCGGGGAGGAGGACGCAGCGTGGCTCATGGCTCGAGTCGGCCTCCACGTGGCTGAGAGCACGCCCGCTGTTTACGGAGCCGCCAATTATCTCGGCCCCGGCACCTGCCCCGACCAGGCCAGGCTTAACCAATCCGCATCCGGGCGGGCCAGGCTGGGGTAAACTGGTTGCTTTGTGAGTGGGAACACCTGACTGGCACTTATGAGGCTTGGGAAGCGTTTTACCTAAATGATCGGAGAAGGGGGATGGTCTCGCTTCAGCTCTCACCCTGCGATCACTCCGCACCGCCCGAGGCCAGGGAGGGGGAGACACTGTGAGAATTCCTCTCCTCCCAGTGTGGAGCCTTGCCTTCCTCAGGGCTTGCTTTCCCTTTCCTTACGCAGGAGCCAGAGGTTGGAGCCACCAGAAAGGGTGCAATGTGTAAAAATAGGTGCAATTCTGCAAAGTTCTGGGGCCTTATCAGCTTTTCAGGCTCATGTCAGGGGTCCTTGGTTTCTGTATGAGGAAGCTCCAGGCCATTCTCCCGGGACAGCTGGGAAGGGCTCTTTGCAGGGGCACTGGGCCTGACTTCCCCAGAGGGCCGAAGGGCATCTTCCTTTCCATTACTTATATTTCCACGAAAAGATTTCCCGCGGAAATTCCTAGTAGCCTGACTCCTCCATGCTGCATGTATTTTTTTTTAAATCCCTCTTCTCTAGCAAACTTAAAGCTAAGTGATCAGGAAAACCTGGCTCTCGGTAATTTAGCAGGGAGAGGCAGACTGATTCCTTTGCCCCTCCATTCCTCCAGAAAGACGGATCAGGGTCAGAAACCTGCTCCTTTCAGGCCTTCGCCACGACTGACTGACGCTGCTGGGATAACACAATCCCTCCCCCGGCTTCCGGGGATTCTCCTTGGATCCTAAGGAACACGCAAGCGTTCACTGGCATCTGTTCTCTGATTTTCTAAATGACGGTGGAAACCGTCCCCCGTCCAGGGGAGAGCGTTCAATTGGGTTGCTGGTTACTAAGTTGGGTAAATAGGACTGCTCCTCTTTTCGCTCAATGAGCTAGCAGTGGTCGGCAAACTGCGGCTGGCGAGCCACATGCGGCTCTTTGGCCCCTTGAGTGTGGCTCTTCCTAAGCCTTAGGAGTGTCCTAATTAAGTTAATAACAATGTACCTACCTATATCGTTTAAGTTTAAAAATTTTGGCTCTCAAAAGAAATTTCAATCGTTGTACTGCTGATATTTGGCTCTGTTGACTAATGAGTTTGCCGACCACTAAGGTGCCTTAAGTAATGGCACCTCTGTGAAGCAGGCCCTCATTGATCAAAATGAAGGACAGCTGGGCTGTGCCTGATCCACAGGCTCTACCAGGGAACCATCTCACCCGAGAACAAACCCAACAATTCACTCCACTGAGAAAATGCTCGTATCAGAAATGGAGGCGGGGAAAGTGGATCTGAGGAGCGGAACAACAAAGCGAAGCGAGCCTCGACTGCTTGGTGATTTTTTTTTTTTTTTTTTACTTACTACCAATACTGGAGATACTGGGGATGCCTAGGGAAAAAGAAAAAAGAGAAAGAAAAGCTGTTAGACATGTATTAGCGCACGGCGTCGTGAGCTCAATATAAAATATTGAAACATAACACGCGATAACATTCAGATCACGAGGACATCAGCACAGAGAAAGCAGCGTATCCAGCCCTCCGAGGAAGCCATGTTGCTTTCCCTGGAGAACTCCAGAACTCATCCCCGGTAGGAAATCAAGGCTCGACTTGCACAGCTGGCTCAAGGCAGCTTCATATCAACCATGTTGTGTTTGCCTATAACAGTGGTTCTCAACCTTGGCTGCACATTAGAAGCACCTGGGAATCTTTTTAAAATCCTGATTTCTGGGCCACATCCTCCGGAAATTCTGTTTCTTTGTTACTAATGTGGTGGCCCCACCCCATCACAAAGAAACAGAATTTCCGGAGAATGAGGCCCAGAAATCAGGATTTTAAAAAGATTGGCAGGCTAATGGGGGCCCGAGTGGAGCCCTGGATTATAAGGGAAAGGGGGAATGGGCATTGGGGGGAAACGACCTAAAATTAGGTTTCTATTCCGTTCAGTTAGAGGGCATGGGAGACACAGCATGGGCCTCTGCAAATAGACCCGCATCATGGAATAGGTCTCTTTCTATGTGTTATGAGAAGTACCTGTTAGCGGGTGCAGTCATTTAGCCTGTTATTTGATTAATGTCACATAACCATCATTTCTTATTCCTCTTTTACTCATCAGATATGTGGATTAAACTCCGTAATAGAAACTTAATTCGAGAATACACTAGGTTGTTTCCATTGATCATGGACTTCATAGATTTTTCCAAGTTGTTCGAAGGTGGTGGAACCATTTCAGAACGCACTGAACTTGGAATAACCGTGGGCATGGATGTAGTGTGCATCCAGATGAGAACTCCTGGCCAATGCCCTAGACGATTTGGCTCAGTGGATAGAGCGTCAGCGTGTGGACTGAAAGGTCCTGGGTTCGACTCTGGTCAAGGGCACATGCCCTGGTTGTGGGCTTGATCCCCACTGGTGCAGGAGGCAGCTGATCCATGATTCTCTCTCATCATTGATGTTTCTATCTCTCCCTCTCCCTTCCTCTCTGAAATCAATAAAAATATATATATATAAAAAAAAAGAAGACTCCTGGCCAAGAGCAGAGGCACCAGCTGTCCGGGTTGGGAGCCTTGCTCTTGCACTCGCTGCCTGTGTGACCTTGGGGTAAGTTGCTAAGGCTCCAGGAGGCTCGGTTTCCTGCCTCATAGTGTTTGCAAAGATGACAGAAATTGACATATGCAAAGCACTCAAAACACGGCTTGGCAGGTAGTCTGTGCTAGCTCCATCTTTGCTATGATGACGATTATTGATGCAGTTGGTTCATCAAACAAGCAACCCCATGATAGATATCGCCAATTAACAGTCAGAGATTTATATCTTCTCCACTAAATTCGGGTTGAGAGCATGAGATGGAAGTCAGACTGCACTGAGGGACAGCCCTGCTCTGCCCCCGATAAGCTGGGTGACTGCGGGCAAGCTCCCCAGCTCTACCCGTTTCCTCACTGGAGAGGGGCTAATGATGTCTACCGCAAAGGGCTGCTGTGCGCGTTGAATGGGCTAATCCATAAAAGTGTCTGACACACGTACACAGTCCATACCAGGCAGCTGTTAATGAGCTGTTCGGACGTGCTGGTTACATCGTGAAGTGTACGAGCAGGTGGTAACTGTAGGAATCATTAAACTTCTATTTTAGTATTTATTTTTTTGAACGACTGCCCTCTGCTTATTTTAATTGATCCCTGTAGATTCCTAGCTTTGTTTTCTTTAAAACCAAGAGCTGTTTTTCTTATTTCTTCAAAGGGAGGGGAGAAGGAGAAATAAAAACTTGCCATTCCTTATTAACACCTTGGAAGGAATGAGATCCTATGTTCCATTATTAGATACATTAAAATTCTCTAGATTTTATTTATCTTTATTTTTAAAATATATTTTTATTGATTTCAGAGAGGAAGGGAGAGAGAGAGAGATAGAAACATCCATGATGAGAGAGAACCATTGATCGGCTGCCTCCTGCACGCCCCACACTGGGGATTGAGCCTACAACCCGGGCCTGTGCCCTGACCAGGAATTGAACCGTGACCTCCTGGTTCATAGGTCAACACTCAACCACTGATGCATGGTGGCTGGGCCAGAATCTTTCAGTTTTAAATGAACAGAGTTTATGGGGCTTCAGCTCAATTATTGATCACTGAGCAACCCAAACTGGAGACCTCAATTTCCATTTCCACGTTCCAGCGCCGTCCGTGCAGCAGCTCAAGCTGCAGGCGCTCTCTGCAGAGGGGAGCTGAACTCCTGACCCCACGCTCCGTCGGCTGCCTTGCCACAACCGACAGTGACTTGGTACTGAAATTTTCTTTCCTTTGCAAATCCCCTGTTGAGTGAGGAATGATGGCCGCATCATCATTTTAGTATCAATGGCAGGAGGCTCCAAATTTCCCCGTGATTGAAAGCCCTGCTCCACTGGGGGCAGCTGCTTGCCTTTTGTAATCCGTCAGAGAGAATGGAAGCTGGGCCGCAGGAAGAGACGTCTCATGCGCTTGCAAACTCAAGGGGAGCTACAGGGCCATGCATAATGCAAAGCGAAGTTCTCAGTTCTCAGGGTGCGCGGGCCCCCCGCCATGGAGAGCCAACCTCCAAGACTGATGAAGCCTTTGCTGCAGTAAAGCACCTCAGACTCATGCAAAACTGTCTCCGTTCCTTCGGGGAGCCCCGTGCAGAGAGCCGTGTTCGCTGCAGCGACAGATCCCCTAAGCAGGGCTATCATGCGATCCTGTTTTCCATCAGCTGACATGTGGGTGCTTAACATTCAGCCTCTTCCTCACGCCGCGGCTGGCCTTTTTGTGAGATGTCACCAGGTGAGCACGTCCTCCTCCACTGCTGTCAAATGGGAATTGCTTCGCAAAGATTTTTTTCGACTGCTGGTTGGAATAGAGCTTTTTGAAGTTGAGAACAGCTGACTGCCAAGGGATGTCTACTGGTGTCGTTTCAAATGTTATTCTTTCCCTCATGTTTCTTATTTAATGTCCAAACACCTGGGTTTTGGTTCCCCACAGACAACTGGTGAAGAATTTAAAAAACCCACTGCATCTATTAAAAGAGCTTCGAGCAAGTCACGAGGAATCTTTCAAATGTTGAAGGAACTGAGATAGGAATGCAGTTCATTTCTTGAAAGTGGGTTTCTTCGGGGTGGGGGATGAGTCAATGGGTGAGATCCTATCTCACACCAGTGACAGTGCCCCTAAGCCACGGGACAGATGGTTAGAAAAAGGCCCATCGAATAAGTGACCAGACTGCGGCCATCAGGAGCTCTACCTGCAAAAGCCTCGCCAATGAAGACGCAGGTGATGAGGAAGAACACGGGTGTGTTCTGTTGCCATTACTTCCGACGCCCTCCCAGCCCTGGTCCCTGGTCCAAATGGCTGTACAGAGCTGTCTTCCAGGAACTTGAAGGTGAAGGAAAGACCGCCTTCCCAGCATTGCGCTGTGGCATCATCATACAGGGGATCCAATCAGAGATGGCTAAAGTCACCTTATGCCAACAGAAGGGCTCTGGGGCCTGAGTGTACATGACAAACAACAGAGGTGGCCTTAGCGGATTGATTGCCATCTGTGAAGAATAGACGGAAGAGGGGCATCCTGAGGCACGTGGTGGCAGGGTGGCCTAGCAGTGTCTCAGGAAGAGGGATGGGGAACCTCCCACCTTGACCTCTGTGCCGTTGATACTGGCCCTGTGGTCAGAGGCATGTGTCAGGGTGTTTCCACCTAATGTTATTAGCATTCGAGTCATTTACATTTCGTGACCCCGTGCTTGGCAAGCAGCCTTCTGATGATTATCTGGCTCCGCAAGGAGACCGACTCACAGGGGAGAGACTACACTGGTCCTAAGGACTGCGGCAGTCCGGACACCGGAACAGTCCTTCCATACTGTGGGGGAGCAACTGACATGTGGACACACTCTATCTCCCCCATTGAGCTGTCACCAAAGGGAGACACTGCTGACCAGACTGGGATGGGTCCTCGTGCGGCATCTCAGTGAAATTCTAATGACATTGTGCGCTGACTGTGTTCCTGCCACTCTTACAGATGCCTCACATGCATGAATTTGTTTCACCTTTATGACAACCCAATGAGGTCAACACTCGGGTGTATTTCGTGAGTGGGAGAAACTCACACATGAAGAGCTTGCCCACGATCATGTCAGTACGTTGGGAAAGAGACTGGGATTTGAATTGAGTGGTGCTACCTGCTGTTCAGCTGTGGGTGTTGTTGCCATGTAAGGTAGGCACGCTGCATGACCCTTCAAAATGCTAAAGCTTTTGAATTCCAGGGCCTATCTGGCCTCGTGAGCCTCCGATAAGAGACTGCAGGCTGGTGGTTGCATGGATAGTTTGGCATTCGGGGTTTTCTAGATCGGGCCCACAGGCTGGTTCATACACCTAAGGCTCTGCAAGGAAGGTCCTCTCTTATTGGGCCGACAGGCTCTGCATCTGGAAGGTTGGTGGTCCGGTCGCCGAGGCCAGGAATGCCACTTGGGGAGGCCTGTGAAAACCAGCCGGGCAGTGTGTCATCTCCAGACGGCTGGATGGGCCATGAGCAGCCAGGGAAACAAAGCGAGTCTTTCTCCTACCGTGTTCCCTTCACGTTCTCAGGGGGTCTCCTCCTTAGGAGACTGGGTCCCCTGGGGCCCTTGTGTTAGAGCCGATGAGCAGCGAAGGCCACATTTTCCAGGAGACACAGGAACGTCCACAGGAGGTCAACGTACCCACAGGGGCATGATAGGGTTCTTTCGGTTCACTTATTCGTTCACCTGATAATTAATTCCATAAACACTTATAGAAAATAGATGGCCCCATTCTTAAATGGCTAGCATTTTAGCTCCTGAAGTCAAACAGAGCTGAGTTTAAATCTTGCTCTGTCATGCATTCGCTGTGGGACCTGGAGGCACCTAACTAACCT